ACTGCGCTTTGCCGTTTTTAAGACCTGGGACAGTCTAGCGCACTTACTTCCTGTCGCGCACACGCGCTCTGAAGTGGTCAAGACCGCAAGTGTGGGTATTTGGACAAGGCATGTGTTAAGCCGGGTCTACTTTTACTTAAAAATGGTTTGGCTGAAGTGTGAGAATGTTCATTTTATAAAACGTTTTGTTTTTGTGAAAACCTGTATCTGAACTGTAAATTATGCTTTTTACAGTCATTTTACAGTTCAATATGTTACCATAGACATTGTCTTACCCCGCTCATATGGTATTTATTTCATTTGTGCAGGTCTTAAAAGGTCTTAAATTTGAGCTTAAAAATCTCGCAGATACCCTGAATACAAATGCAAAAGGGTTCACCTTCTATGGCTACATTTACATGCAACCAAATAATCCATTTGTAATCGGATTGACGGCTCAATCGGACAGAAAAACCTTCATGTAAACACCTTAATCGATCCGATTGAGCTCAATCTGAATGAAATTTCGATCGGATTGAAGGGGGTGGTTTATTCCTTTTCTAATACGATTGAGCGTGCATGTAAACACTCGATCGGATTGAACCCCGAAACTGAAAGGACTGCACATGTGCAATGATGCAGAAATGGCGTAATGACGTATGACGTGCGGAACGAAGAGGCTCTTCCTTTTGAATAAAGTGTTGTATAAATGCGTGTCCTGTCATTATAAAACTCTCCTTTCACTCGGCAACTGTGAAGTGGAGCAGGACAACCTCCCACCAGTCCTTGTTTTGGATTCTCATCCACAGGCAACCCGTTTTGGGTGCGAGGAGGGGCATTTTTACGGCGTGATAAATATGAGCAGCACGGCACAGCGGGTTATATGTATATTTATCCATAAATTAATCAATATTAATTCTGCTGTTAAAAACAAATAAAGAAACTGTGTAGGAATGGATAAATATGATTTCTGCTGTTAAAAACAAATAAAGAAACCATGTAGGAGAGTGGTTATTATGTGCAAACAGTGAGAAACTCTATATTTGTGCAGTGTGCGCATGTAAAAAAAAATAAATTCCGATTTGAAGCTTGTGACATATAAACACGCACATCAACCCGATCACTTTCTTTAGCGTTCATGTAAACACTACATTCAGATTCATCAATCTGAATGAATTCAGTCCGATTGAACCAAAAATTGTGCATGTAAACGTAGCCTATGATAGGTTCCTCAACAAGTGATTTGTATGGGAAATGATTTACTTTTGTCTGTGTTGAGTTCATTTGTGTGTATATTAGGCCCAGTATTACAGGGATACAAAAAGGTACCAAACACTCACAAACATAGAACACCCTCATTTGAAAATGTAAAAAAAGTAAAGCGAACAAAACAGATTTCCTGTCGACATAAACTTTCTATCAATGGTGTATGATCTATCAAGGGAGTCTTGTAGTCTGCAGTGCAGCACTTATGTCATCATCACTTTGAGGATCAAAAAGCACTGCTTGGGTGGGGTAATGTCCCTGAAGCAAAGCTAAATATAATTAAATGTGATTTAAATATGTTATTACCTCCAGACAAGGGTTTTACCTTCAATATTTGGGGGGAGAAACGACTTTAAACATATGGTGGACAGGCAAATAACAAGTAGCCTACTTTTTAAAACAAGACTAGCCATAATAAGGTTACATTGATTGAAATTTCACCGCTACAGACAGTGAAGTGCGTTTTTGAGAAACGTGCATAGAAAAGGAATTGATAAAGAATATCTCTTTGGTTTTGAGACTTTAGTCTTTGCAACTTCAGGGATCTTATCTATGCACAATCAGCTTGTAACACTCCAAAGAGAAAGGAAAACTTGAAATCGCATCATATGACCCCTTTAAGAGAAAAGCGCTGTATTGCTGCCACAGTTCAGTTCAGTATTTTGAAGAACCTGCAAGTCATCTTTCAATAGTTCACCACTCATTATGTTGAGGTTCCGAGATTTCATCTTCAGCAGCAACATCAAATTAACACCGATGCTGATGACAATTTGTCTGAACCACATAAACAGCAATATGTTTTTGATGAACTCCTTCACCAGATCAGCAGCGAAAGGATGCTTAAGCGCTATTGTGAAGATGAACTTGAAATACATTGGACCTGTGCAAATTCTGCTTGATCAAACAGCAACATGGTGTGCATTTCCAGTACATGAAGAGTTGAAGAAGTGAACGGACAGCTTATCCATACAATATGATGTGATACTTCACAGAACGCTGCAGGGGATGGCAATCCGGGCACCTTCCACTGAAGAGCATACCTTCAACGGTGAGTGATAAGAGGCTTCTTGAAAACAGCATCACTAAGTGAAGGAGAAAGATTCTGAGGTAAATTTGCACCTGACATCAGCTGTATAGCGGCTGAATTCTCGAATGCTATTGGCAAAGTTTGACAACTTTATTGCCTGTTTGATTTGGTGTACAACGATTAAACTGCAAAAAGGGATGCTTTTACGAGAGAAGACATCTGAAACTGAGGCTGAGAAGGTTTTGATTATATTACCCAGTCATTGTTAAAAAGAAAACCCATCACTAATCGTCATTTGCCTACCTTTTTTTCTTTCTTTCAGTATTTCATTGTGAAATATTAATCTGTTGTTTTCAGATCAGCTGCGGTGGCAATAGAAGACAAACTAAAATCAGATCAGAGAGACGAGCAAAGAAGAGAGTGGTAAGTAATCGCATATCAATGAATTCCAAAGGTTTAATCCTGCTGACGTATTTCCTATGCTAACTTTGGATTGAGCACTTCTGTTGTAGAGATGTTGGGCCTCTTCTAACCTTATGTTCAGTGTAACACAGAGTGCTGTATAGTGGTGACAGACAAGAGGATAAAAACAGACGCTCATGTCATGCTTGATGAGGATTTAGTCCAAGCTTTGAAAGGTAAACTGAGAAATTCCAATGCATATCTATGCAAATTATAATACCACTCAAACCCACTGATTAATTATTTTTCCTTTCACAGACCCTGTGATGAAGCAGACTTCAAATACCAGTTTCTGAACTGCAAGCCCTCAAATGCAGAAAATGCAACAAGTTGAACTCAAAGAAAAGTGATCCTCAACTTGATGAAGCTGGTGGCATTTCAGATTTTCTGTTTATTTCAGCCATTTGCAGGCTTGAGTTTGTAAAAAATGCACTTTATTCACTTCTGTGCTTTATTGTTTTTCAGTAACGCCTTTATGTGTACGTATGCAGAAAATTGCATTATGTATTGTTATTCAATGATGGAATATTCATTGTGTACTTTTCAGTATATATAGGTATAACAGAATTTTCTACTAATTGATTTAAGTGTATTGTTATAGCATTTCACTGATCTTTATATTAATTTATGATTTATTTATTATTGAATTAATTATAATTCTTTTGGTCAAGTGTTTATATATGCTGCTGTACTTTTTTATTGTAATGTACACAAGATTTATTGTTGTAAAGTATATTTAAGTTTTCTAGATTTGAAAGTGTGTGTAAATGTCATTTTAATTTAATGTTTTTTTTTGGTACTTTTTATTAAAACCATATTATAATACTAAAATTAGCTTTATAACAAACTAATAGTGTACTGGTAATGCATTTCTAATGAGCTGAAATGCTATTGAAAATGTTAAAGCACATTAAAATGAAGCTTAAAATATACTAGTGCTGTCAAACGATTAATCGTATCCAAAATAAAAGTTTTTGTTTACATAATATATGTGTGTGTACTGTGTATATTTATTATGTATATATAAATATACACACATACAGTATATATTTAGAAAATATGTACATGTATTTATATTCATATAATTTATATTATATATAAATATAATGAATATATAAACAACATATTTTTCTGAAATATATTATACAGGGTAGTAATTAGTCTCTGGATCGAGTTCACAGTAGGTGGCGGTAATGCGCGAAATTGGTGCGATCCGAGAAGAAAAAAAAAAGGGAATAAGACGACGACTTTTATGTTGGGCTGGCGAGCTGACGCTATAAGGCTGCGACTCGCTCTGCTGTCTGTTATTCGGCTGAAGAAAGGTTTGTGTTTTTAAGCATTTACAGTGTTTTAATCGATTCAAAGCAATTTTACAGTTTTTACCAGAGGTGTAAAATGAACTAAATATCCAATGTCACATTGTAATACCTTATCTAACTTTAATGCACGTTATTTTTGTGAGTAACGTAAAGGACATCCACACATGAGTAACGCTAACGTTAATAGAAATGGTGCGTCTCATTTCACTCCCTATAACACGAAATCAGTCACTGGAAAGTAGACTCCGCCTCACGAACCGTTGGCTACTCGAGACTACTGGACAGTTTAACTTAACTTTTCTAAACTCAGAGTCAGTTAAACCAAATACTTAGCAAAATGATTCAAAAGCGCTCGATTTACCTCGCGCTGACGTCGCATGCTGTTCAAAACAGTAGTGTAGGGATGGGGAGTCGACTCCTAAAGAGTCGATTCCTCGACTCTGAATAGCTCTAGAGTCGGAGTCGACTCTGAAAAACCTGGAACCGAACACCCCTACAGTAGTGTAAATGCAATGACAACTAACTATAATGAAAACGTTTACAAAAATCACAAAATGTCTAATCGATTAGGCCTGAATGTGATATACAAATTATTAAATGCCAAATACAAACCATAAACACCTGAATATGAACTTTAAATTGTGTTCTTTTATTAATCTGCAGTGTACTAGGATTTTAACTAGGTTACTGAACAAGGGAGCTGATTGAGATTGGATTCCCCCCCCCTCCCGTTAATTCTCATCTTCTCATCTTAAACAGGATAGTGTCCAAACACAGGAAAAACTCCTGGTGAAACGACTGAGATCAACGTGACGCACTATTATAAAGATGGTGTTTATTAAAGAGGAGAGTGAAGACATGAGGATTGATGAAACATTCAGAGTCAAACAAGAAGATATTGAGGAACAAACAGGTTGGTTTTCATTCTCAAAGCTGACCCTTCTTAGACGTGGAAGTGAAGTAGTCAGTCAAGTTTACATTATTTAGTAAATTGATTTACATTTTGATTAAATGTAACCATTTTAAAGTAAAATAGCTTTTGGAGCAAGTGTGCGGCCATCTTGTGATACCACAGCGTGTGACGTTACGGGGTTGGTTTGCTCCGTTGGCCAGTGAAGTAATATAAGCATTTCTTTACTTTTTGAGCACACGTTATTTTAACACACAAATGTTTTTGGTTTCCACCATAATTTGGATGAATATCCAACATCAAACTGTCTACAAGTTGAGCATACTATTCCAAACATTGTTTTTACAGGGTTTCCGCGGGGTCTTAAATTGAGTTGTATCAAATTTAAGGCCTTAAAGGGGTCATATGATGCGATTTCAATTTTTCTTTTCTCTTTGGAGTGTTACAAGCTCTTGGTGCATAAAGAAGATCTGTAAAGTTGCAAAGACTAAAGTCTCAAATCCAAAGAGATATTCTTTATAAAAGTTAAGAGTCAGCCACGCCTACCTAAAACGGCTCGTTCTAACACGCCCCCACATGTCTACGTCATGATGTGGGAAGATTTGCATAACGCCGCCCAAATGTTCACGCAAAGAAAGAAGGCGTAACTTTTATTCTCACTGTAGTATTGTTGTTGCCTCCGCCACCGCTTCGTCATGCCTAGAGCTGATCTGTGCTGGTCGCTGAGGAAATACATCAACTTCGCTCTGTGGATCGCCGGATCGGCTTTCACCGTGGTCGAAGCGGAGTCCAGCCCGGGGTCGTCACATGTGGTTGCCGCAAGCCTGCCGGCCGCCGCTTACTCTATAGCCCGCCGTGTGTGACGCTGTGAAAGCGAATCTACTTTGTTTGGTCTTCCAAAAGAGGACGATATCAGCTTCGTCATGCCTAGAGCTGATCAGTGCTGGTCGCTGAGACAGTTCAACCCAAATATTCGATGTGTCCAGCGCATTTTATGGAGGACTGTTTCCTGATCCTGGGAGAGTAGACTAAGACTAAAATGGCAGTTCTGACTCACGTAAGTACGTTTTCATTTAAAGGATTTGCCACTGATGATTCAAACGCAAGTTTTGAGCAGTGTAGAGTAGCGCTGTTGTTTGTCGTTACTCCGATCACAAATGCAGACATGGTTTTATGTTTACACGGCGCGGCGCGATGCAACGCAACGCGTAAAAAGACAGTATAAGTCATTATAATCAGTAATTATGTCCCCACTGGATGCAACAAATGCCTCGTTTGTAATGGGCTTTAATGTTT